ATATATATATATATATATATATATATATATATATATATATATATATATATATATATATATGTATATATTCGGCTTTTCAACGAAAATCGGATTCATAGATCCGATCAGGTCCGCAGCTGACTTGAATAGTTTGGTAGATGAGCAGTAATTAACCTGTTCCACTGGCCTTTACACTTCCTTATCACAAACTTTTTCTCACTAGAAATCCACCTGTCAGAGTGCGCAGGTTTTCGAGTAGTTGAAATTGTTTGGACATGTTTGATCAATGAGTCCGTTTTGAGAATTAATTAAATATTATTTTGTAAATATAATTAACATTAGTTTAAAAATACATTAGGGTAGGAAAATATATATGATTTCGCAATAATTATAAGAAATGAAGAAAATTAAAAATATCGAATTAACTATACAAATATATATATATATATATATATATATATATATATATATATATATATATATATATATATATATATATATCTGAATTGTAGGATATTAAGAGTGAAAATGTACTAATATATTAAATAACAGTATAGTAAATACAGTAATAAATTTATAATTTTTCGTGATTTGTCGTATAAAAAAAATGTTTCGTAAATTCTTCAGTAAGGAACATATAACTGTAGGATAAAATGAATACTTATAAAAAAACAATTTTTGAAAATTCAATTTTTCATCGAAATTCGGCTTTTTAACGAAAATCGGATTTATAGATCCGATCAGGTCTTCAGCTGATTTGAATTGTTTGGCAGATGAGCAGTAATTAACCTGTTCCACTTGATTTCTGGCCTTTACACTTCCTTATCACAAACTTTTTCCCACTAGAAATCCATCTGTCAGAGTTCGCAGGTTTTTGAGTAGTTGAAATTGTTTGGACATGTTTGACAATGAGTCCGTTTTGAGAATTAATTAAATATTATTTTGTAAATATAATTAACATTAGTTTAAAAATACATTAGGGTAGGTAAATATATATGATTTCGTAATGATTATAAAAAATGAGTAAAATTAAAAATATCGAATTAACTTATACACCTAATAGCCCAGGTAGTTAAATCTGTGCAAACAGATTTTGAATAGAGTCTGCTATAAATTTTTGAACAGAAAGAGAATAAATCAAACACAGGATTTGTTGATATCTGATTATATTACCAAACTGCCGTCAGAAATGTGAAATATTTCGAGCAGAGATTGGCGGCAGAAACCGAGCAGATCCTGTTGTTCGACGGAATCTGCCCGGTTTTTGTTGCCAATTTGCTCGCATTGTCAGTCAGCAGACTCTGATACCAAAATACGATCTGACTGTTGACACAGTTAGCTATGGTTTTAATATGAGATTTTAATCAAATTTATTCCCAATCTGCGCGTACTCTGCTATCAATTTGCTTACTGGAAGATTATGTATGATTTAGCAATATAAATAGCTATTTATTTTTAAATTGATTAAAATAATTGTACACAAAGAAAACACCATTCATACGTCTTTCATTCACTACGGATTTTATTTGCCTAAATAAAATCCGTAGCTTCAGCAAAATATTAATTTATTTTTTGCTTATGTATACAAAATAGTTATAGTAATCAGTATTGTGGAACTGGCTATCTTTGTTCATACGTGTTTGAAAGGTACTAATTATAGTAGTGGTTCTGCAAACCACAGAGAGACATAGAGTAATAATCCTTTGGTTGAGACAACTATAGATGGACATATAGCAACAGCAACTTTTAATACCATATCTATTTAACTTGAAATCACAATTTTTCTTTCTAACTATAGAGGAAGAATTTATAAATCATGGTAGCAATCATGGCAATTTTCTCTTGTTTGTATAGGCTCCCAATAAATTATAAAAAATTATATATCAATTTTTCTCTTTCTTAAATTCAAGAATATATGTTCATTTATTTATCTTGTTTTCTTACAGGAAAAGGATAAGCCGAATAGTACAACTATGAACGGTTCACCAGGTAGTGCCGGAATGGGTGACCAAATGAGTGTTAAAATCGAGCCAGCGGAAGCCGAATCATTGTCCATGTCTGGAAGTAGTGGTATTCTCACACCCGTTAGTCCTTATGCTTGTGTGAAACCGCCGACGCCTACGCCTATCAGTCCAGAACAGGACGAACTGATAAACAGGCTGGTATCTTTCCAATGCCAGTTCGAGCAACCGAGCGAGGAGGACTTAAAAAGAATTACCGTATGTATTTTATTTTTTGTATTTTATTTCATTTATTATTAGAATTATCTCTGTGCGTGCGTGCGTGCGTGCGTGCGTGCGTGCGTGC